TAGCCTAATTTTGGCAATTAATTGATCTTTGATTATTAGCAGATAAATATGCCCAATGGTCTGTGATGGGATGTTAGATGGGGTGGGATCTGAGTTACTACAGAGAATTCTTTCCTGGGTGCTGGCTGGTGAGTCTTGCCCACATGCTCAGGATTTAACTGATCGCCATATTTGGGGTCAGGAAGGAATTTTCCTCCAGGGCAGATGGGCAGAGGCCCTGGAGGTTTTTCACCTTCCTCTGCAGCGTGGGGCACGGGTAACTTGCTGGAGGATTCTCTGCACCTTGAGGTCTTTAAACCACGATTTGAGGACTTCAATAACTCAGGCATAGGTTAGGGGTTTATTACAGGAGTGGGTGGGTGAGATTCTGTGGCCTGCGTTGTGCAGGAGGTCAGACTAGATGATCATAATGGTCCCTTCTGACCTTAAAGTCTATGAGTCTATGACTGATGATCCAAAAACCTGAAAGTTCCAAAGATCAAACTTCCTGGTACCTCAGGAACTTCCTTGTTCCCTTTCCTTCCTTCCTTCGTTCTCTCTCTCTCTCTCTCTCTCTGTATATATATATATATATATATATATATATATATAATTTCACACCAACTTGGAAACAATACATTTGTTTGCTTTTTGAATCAGATAGATTATTCACATATAGAGATTTCTATCTTGTTCTTCTAATGTAATGTCTCACATCCTATGATAAGTCTTGAAAGATGTGAAGAATGCCAGATATAATCAAAGATGGATCAAATCAATCAAATCAAAGTACCGCGTGTCTACAAGATTTAGAAGATCATAAGGGATTTTGTTTGTTTTTTCTGATTAATGATTGTTGCACTCCAGAAGCGATAGGAATTGTATGGCATGAGAAGGAAAAAAGGAATGTTAAAAGATAAAAGCCTCTAGCAAGGGTATAACTTTAGAATATAAGAGATATTGCTTTAAAGCAGTGGTTCTTAACCTTTACTGCAGCCTGCACCCCTTTGGTTCTCAAAAATATGTTCTTGCACGCCTTATCAAAAATCGTTGAAGTAGGTCAGTTCTTTAAACCTAGATATATCATAACTATAGAATAAAAGAGAGAGAATTATATATTTATTTTAATTTTGCAGTTAAAATTTAACACAGTTATCATTAAAAAAATTATAATGTTAATAAATACATAGGTTTGATGAAACAAAGTAGTTGTACTTACATGCTTAATTTGTGTTTTCGATGATTTACCTTCTAAAAAAATCTGGCATGTCTCGCACCCCCAGAAAGGGCATCTCGCACTCCCAGGGGGTGCGTGCACCCCAGGTTAAGAACCACTGCTTTAAAGGGAGGATTTATATTAATAGTTGGTGCAAATATCAAAATACAATCTATGAAATGAATTAAACCCTCTGACTAAAGGAAGCATTGAATAAATTTGTTACATACTGTTACCGTCCACTGGATATCAACAAAACAGCAGAGAAACCGAGAGAGCTGAAATTGGAGCACTCAGTTGGCACAAGTCTAATAGAAATCAGAGGGTAGCCTCCTTCAAGGAGCTTGAAATCAAGGTTTAGAAATCTGAGGGCTCCACGTGGGACCCCAGAGGATTTTTTCTAGCCACAGAATCCCCAATGCGACCAAAACCTGCACCAGCTGTATGGAAAGGACTCTTCCTTATTGCAGGGGTAACAGGATAAGAAGAAGTGGTGAGATTTCATTTCAAAGATTGTATTTTCCCTTTTCTTCTTCAACACACAATACTTAAGTTATCTTGCTGAGCCTACATTCTTTAATGAAACCTCAAGTAACCATATTTTAGGTTTGAACTAATGATATATCTGTGCCCTCTTTTGTAAGTCCAAGCAAATTGCCTTAAGAGAGATTGAACCATAAATTTAAGCAATTGCTTTTGATATTCTAAGCTTGTCACTTTGGACCAATCCATTCATATAGCAGGAACCATTCTCTTACAGTTGTCTTGAAGGCACTTTTATCTTTTTTCTTTGGAGAAATACTGGAAGTGTGATAAATGTGTTAGGTACTAAAGAATTGAGTATCAATAAATCATGAGTAAATGTTATAAGAAATCATGGTTATTTGCTCTGCTCCTTGGTATAACTGCTGAGCCTCAACCCTAGCCTTTGACAGGTGCTTGCAGGACTGTATTGGTTTGTTCAGTACATGCCAAGAACTTGGTTGCATTTGATTGATAAACTATTGATTGTATACTTATGTGGTTCTGGGTGAGTTAATAAATTGTTGATTAGTTAAGAATAAACAAATGCACCCCCCATAAGAAATATTATTTGAGTTAAAAGGGGACCTGAAAAGCATTTAGCATTAAATAGTAAGCTAACACTTCTTGAACTCAATTTAAAAAAGGTTATCCTATTAGATTCCATTCTAATATTAGCTATAACACTTATCCAATTGGGAAATGTAGTTTGTTAGATTTTAGCTTTAAAATCTAATTGATACCTAGCATATTCATAAAATGGATCCCATTTCATTCGTACGTGGCAAAATAAAAGCTTCTAAAATACATTTTTGGCTGAAAAACCATTCGTTCTAAACTGTGTGAAAATCTGGGGGCCACAACATTTTCATAAATAACTGGTGCTTGAACAGTCACAACTACAGATCCACCAATCATAGTAAATGGATTCTGTGATTTTATTCACAAAAATACTTTCAAGTCATTTTTTACTATATGAGGAATTATAATATTGATATTCCTCACCAATCATGCCTCACCAACCTACTAGAATTCTTTGAGGGGGTCAACAATCAGGTGGACAAGGGGGCTCCAGTGAATATAGTGTATTTAGATTTTCAGAAAGCCTTTGACAAAGTCCCTCACCAAAGGCTCTTAAGCAAAGTAAGCTGTCATGGGATAAGAGGGACGGTTCTCTCATGGATTGGTAACCGGTTAAAAGATAGGAAACAAAGGGTAGGAATAAATGGTCAGTTTTCAGAATGGAGATAGGTAAATAGTGGTGTCCCTCAGGGGTCTGTAGTGGGACCAGTCCTATTCAACATATTCATAAATAATCTGGAAAAAGGGGTAAACAGTGAGTTGGCAAAATTTGCAGATGATACAAAACTACTCAAGATAGTTAAGTCCCAGGCAGGCTGTGAACAGCTACAAAAGGATCTCTCAGAACTGGGTGACTGGGCAACAAAATGGCAGATGAAATTCAGTGTTGATAAATGCAAAGTAATACACATTGGAAAACATAATCTCAACTATATATATAAAATGATGGGGTCTAAATTAACTGTTACCACTCAAGAAAGAGATCTTAGGAGTCATTGTGGATAGTTCTCTAAAAACATCCACTCGACGTGCAGCAGCAGTCAAAAAAGCAAACAGAATGTTGGGAATCATTAAGAAAGGTATAGATAATAAGACAGAAAATATCATATTGCCTCTATATAAATCCATGGTACGCCCACATCTTGAATACTGCATGTGTAACCCACACATCTCCTGGATGTGATGTTCTGTCCCATCTAGTGACACCAAGACCACTTAGAGAGAGAGATTAATGAGTTTGCTCTACAGCTTTAGCTAACAACCAGTTGGCTTTTAGCTCATGCAGTAGAGGCTCATGCACTAAGCTCCAGAGATCCCCAGTTCAATCCTGCTGGCCAACGACCGGGGTCTGTTGACTTTACACATGCAGATGTGGTTGCCCCATCTCAAAAAAGATATATTAGATTTGGAAAAGGTTCAGAAAAGGGCAACAAAAATTATTAGAGGTATGGAACGGCTGCGGTATGAGGAGAGATTAATAAGACTGAGACTTTTCAGCTTGGAAAAGAGACGACTAAGCGGGGATATGATAAAGGTCTATAAAATCATGACCGATGTGGAGAAAGTAAATAAGGAAGTGTTATTTACTCCTTCTCATAACACAAGAACTAGGGGCCACCAAATTAATAGGCAGCAGGTTTAAAACAAACAAAAGGAAGTATTTTTTCACACAACGCATAGTCAAGCTGTGGAACTCCTTGCCAGAGGATGTTGTGAAGGCCAAGACTACAACAGGGTTCAAAAAAGAACTAGATAAATTCATGGAGGATAGGTCCATCAATGGCTATTAGCCAGGATGGGCAGGGATGGTGTCCTAGCCTCTGTTTGCCAGAACCTGGGAATGGGCAGCAGGGGATGGATCACTTGATGATTACCTGTTCCGTTCTTTCCCTCTGGGGCTCCTGGCATTGGCCACTGTTGGAAGACAGGATACTGAGCTAGATGGACCATTGGTCTGACCCAGTATGGCCGTTCTTATGTTCTATTCAAATACTAAGCATAATGTATGCTGTACATCTGCTTGGCTTGCATACTGTGATTTAACTAGAGGCTTTTGAGGCTAATTTTTTATGTACATTGGCACACTTGTAATTCAGGATGTTACTGTTTCCATTTAACGCATATAGGGTAGACCTATGGATTTATTATCTTTGTTAGTTTTCTTATTATATTTATTACCATGGTAACAATTGTAAAAAATTGTACCTATTTGAGAGAGATCCCCTATATTTAAAATTGAAGAAATAGCCTTGTAACCAGTAATATATTTCTAAACACAAAGACTGTACCTGAGTGGGGTATAAAGTCAAATGTACTGCTGCTGACATTTTTGATCACTTGCATTTACACAAACCAGCATTAAGTATCACAGTGGGTATTCTCAGAATAAGACAGACTGATTCATGTGTGTGTAAGTGTAAGATAACAACATACACTGCTTTGAAGTTTGGTCATACACACAGTAATTTGTGTATTAGTGCTCCATCCATTATAGATGTTTGTGATTTGTATGATAGTCTCTTCCTCTTTTTTCCTCTCTATCCCAGCAAAGCATGTGTCAATCATTTATTGATAAAACTCAGTATAATACTGGAGTATCAAGGGACATATCCCAGCGTCTTCCCTTTGTTTTCACACAATAGTAATTTAGCAATCTGTGCTTTATATATACCTTACTATACATATCTCCTTTCATCTTCAGACTGATAACGGCCTTTCAAAAGTGTGGAGTGAGTCTGGGAACCCTGGTGATGAATGGAGGAAAGCAGAATTGCACTTGGGGAAGTTGAGGAATTTTGAAGTCATATTTGAAGGCATTCGTGCCAAAGACCTAGGTGGAGGAGCAGCAATAGATGATATCGAGTTCAAGAATTGCACCACAAGTAAGTGTAAGAGATTTGTTTTCTGTGGAAATAGCTAGAATGGAAAGACTGAGCTCATGACTGATTTTAAGCATACTATGGTTTAACTGATAAGATTTGCCATGATGTCACTATATATAAAATCAGTCATGAACAAATTATTTTTATTCTTGAAATGTTAATAGAAATTCTGTTTAAATAGGAACTTTCACACCCGTGCAACATTCTCAAGCAAGTGGACAAAAAGCCAGTAAATGTCTGAATTCTCTTTTCTGCTTTTTAAGCTATTTGGTTTTGAATAAGAGCTTTCTCCTCATCAAAGCAATCACCACCAAATCTTGGGCTTTGGATGATTTTGTTAGTTGTTTAAAAAAAGCCTCATCCACCTCTTCCACCTGATTAGGTGGCCTGTAGTAGACGCCTAGCATGACATCACCCTTGTTTTTTACCCCTTTTAGCCTAACCCAGAGACTCTCAATACTTCCGTCGCCTATGTCCATCTCCACCTCAGTCCAAGCGTGTACATTTTTAATATATAAGGCAACACCTCCTCCCTTTTTCCCCTGTCTATCCTTCCTGAGCAAGCTGTACCCATCCACACCAACATTCCAATCATGTGTATTATCCCACCAAGTTTCAGTGATGCCAACAATGTAATTAAAGAAGTGTGGAATGGGGTTACAGCTCCTAATCTCTGGTACAGTGAGGAGACCACCTCTTTTGCCCTTTCCCTCAACCTTTATATGAGAGGAGTGCAGTGGGGTCCCAGCAATGGTTCTGGGAACAGGTTAAAGGCATGGAGGGGCTGAATGCAGCCCTCCCCCAGGTTGTACAAATAACCAAAGGAAGGTTGACCTTCACCGGAGAAGTTATTGCTGGATTGTGCCCAGATGTATTATATTAATAAAGCTGTGGACTAGTTAAACCAAAGTCCTGGTGTCTTGTCTTCCTGCAGTGTCCAGGACAATTTACAAATTTGAGATCACTGCAAAATTACAGAGGGATTCAGCTAACAAAAATGACAAGGAAATTACAAAAAAAAATTAAAAAGTAAATTCATGGCATACGTCTGGGAATATACTGTTTTAAAATAATAGTGCACATTTGCTAGTGCAATTAGTAGAAGCAAAATGTATTAGTACTTACAATTACCTTACATTATATGAAGTTAAAGGTAAACGATATATGTATTGAGGTTATGCTGTAAAATTTGCTTCTACTAACTTTCTGAGCTAATGAGCACTGCATTTTGAGAGTGTATGTAAAATATATATATGTATTAGTATTGGTATTATATAAAAATAAATATTCATGGTTCTCTTTAATTCTATATATTGTAAGCTATTTTGAAAATAACACTATATTTATTATTGAAAATATTCTATATAGAACTGTCTTTATAAGGAAGAAAATGTTTGCCTCAGTAGGGTGCTCATAAATGGATTTTAAAATTCCAAAGTATTTAAATGTTCAAGGTTTACTTTAGTTTTAGTCTCTCTGACTTATTGTCTGAACCTGATTGTTAATATTGTTTTATAACCACCCTTGCATTAAAAGACCATTGCAGTGAGGCAATTCAGAAAGTAACTTTGGTTTATTATGATGTTATAGCAAATATTTCTTTTAAGAGCACTACTTCAACAATGGGCTTTGCTGAGAAAGCAATTACATATGAGTTAGGATTGTTTTCACATGCATTACAACTTCTGCAACACCATAGTCCTGTGAAATTTGCAGAATGTTAGTGTTTATGAGCATGGATGACTCATGGGATGCTTTTCTTGTAGTTGTCTGGGCTATGCTGTTGAACTCCAAAAGGAGGCCAAGTGATTATGAGAGAGGCGCAAAGCTGCTTTATAAACAAAACTGAAACAAAAAAAGATCTCATCAGGAAAACTAGAAGCACAAGATAATCTTCCTTTACATAGCTATCACTTGCATGGCAGATGTCTTCGGCAACATTATGGGGAAATCTTTACAAAATGATGAATTACTCATTTATCTATTGGGCACAATGGGGTTTTCATTAAACTTCAGGTGTACACGTCCAATTTCTTTAACAGTCTCCTTTTCTTTTAGCTTTACAAACACCATGTATTTAAGCCAATTGAAGGAAAACCTCATTCCCCAGTAATTTTTTGAATTTCTCTGTGTTTACTCCCTGGATAGCCCAGAGTTCTATAGGTTACAGTCTCAGATTCTAGACTTTGGTCTTTGTGTTCCTCTTATAGGGAGGAAAAAATAATCCAAAACCCCAGGGGCTATGAAAGTTTTGCTATTGGTCTTCCTTCTGTTCAGTCCTGTATTGTGGTAACGGAGGCAGCATAGTATGAACTTGGAATTCTCCTGGGGGGGGGAGGGGGATTAAGATTTACAAGAAACTCTGGCTACAATCCTGTGACTCCTCACCTAGTTATGTGGTCCCTCCCTCTATGATCTACTCAGCTAACCCATAATGGAGCTCTGTTGCTATTGGTTCCAATAGCGCTCTACACCCTTAATTGGAAGTGGAAGTGTACAGAAGAGGAGATAAGACTCCTTTAGGCAGCATTAGCTACTCTGGTTTTTATGCAGATGTTAGGAATGCATAAAGACTGGGAAAATGCTGTTTAGAGCAGCTGTTCCCTGATTCCTCCCTCTACTCCAGGGCCCATTCCCCTTTTCCACACGTGGCCCCTTCAGCTACAAAGGAAACAACATCTTCTCAGCTAAGTAGATACATTTTCCTCTCCATGTCACTTCTCCCTTCTTACCTCCTGCCACCTATGTTTTCACAGTATCAAAGCAGTTTTAGGCCCCAAAGCTTATGAATGAGATTTGCAGAATTTTCTTGGTAGATTTCCCATTCTTTTGGAGTTCCCTCCATGCTGAAATATGATTAAGCACAAAGTCAGTAAATTTTAGAAAGACGCATTTCTTTGCCAAATGGATTAAACCCTGGTTGCCTAGATGACTAGTAGAGCTGCAATTACCAGGGAGGTGTCTCTGGTTGAAATCATGAATGTCTCGGCTTACCTATATTGTCATAATAATTATTACAAGCAATTGTCTGGTGCTTAAGTAATCTATAGTATTTTAGAGGAATACAGCCTTATTGTTTGTTGTAAGATGATTACTGTAGTTGCCGTATTATGATGGCCCTGTGCCACCACAGCACAGGTGCGTAGAGAGGTGTTTGTCTTTTGTGAGGAACTCCATACTCCAGGGTCACATAACAAATATTCAAACTTATTGGTGCCTGGGTGACAAGAATGTGCTGAATAAATAATGGAACCCAGGCCGTTTCCCACTATGGGACTTCCCTCTCCACAGGGGCTTTAGAGAGAGGCACAGGTTAGGAAATTAAGAGAGGCACTGCCTGGGGCTGTGTGAATTTTATGCCTTTTCCGCGTGCTTTTTAGGAGACAGGATATGGGACTGGTTGGCTTCCCCAGCCACACTTCCTGTCTGGTGATTATTTCTCCTTCTTAACAGATATGCATGTGCTGTACTGAATGGAGCTGCTGGGCTTGTTGCATTCTCCACGGGTGCAGGTTTAGTGCCTTCCTGGGAGATATTTCTATATAACTTGGCACCATTTTCCTGACTGCTCTGTGCAATTAGGGCCTGAACTAACGCTCATCAAAATCAAAGGGATTCTTTCCATTGGCTTTAATGTCCTTTGGATCAGACTATTTGGATCAGGCCATTAATATGAATTTGTTCACTTCTATGCTACAGTTTGGGCCAAGCTTTTTAACTTTCCTAACACATCTGGAGTGCTGACGTTTGTCTCAGTATGTTGTCATGAAGGAGCCTGCCCTTCCCTTACTTGTTCTTGTTTGTTATTGGTTCCTTTACCTTTGTAGAACAGGCAAATAAATTGCATTTTGCCGTATTCGCAAAAACAACATTTCCCATCTGTTCCTAGCCTGGGGCACTCAGGACTACAGAAAGCATGTTTTGTCTAAGTTGTTTTTGTAGCACAAAGCATGTGGTTTTATTATTTGATGTGTATGACTGAGGAAGATGGCTGTTCAAACAAACCCATGAGCACAAAGTATCGTGCAAACAGGCTAGATTTTTCTCCTTGTGGTGCTGCTCTGGGCACTGTGGAGGCAGTTGTGGCATCTATAGCCTAGCTAGAATTGCTAAGGTGAGAGCAGTGGTGGTCACATTTGTATTCTCCAGTAAACAATGAGACCTGCAGCGTTGCAGTGTAATATAAAAGATATTCAAGCTGCTGTAACTAACATAAATCACTAAAACCGCTCACAAAAGCCTTAAATAAAATAAAGAATAATTAACTATCAAGGTGGCAGCTCCCTCCATACAGCTTGATGATGCATTGTAAGACTGAGATAATCAGAAAGCAGTGGAAATCAGAGTGTTTAAAAGTGGTTAGGACATTTTTTTTGGCAATGTCCTGTGCATCAGAAAACTCACCCAGAGCATGGGCAGCATGGGGTAGAAAGTTTTTAGCACTGCTCTGGTCATCCCAAATGCCCAGGAGAGGCTCATTCACATGTTCTCGGCCTACAGGAGCTGCTGAGGGCTATTCCAGGTGACTTGCTCATTTCTGTTTCTAACAGGAATAATTTACCACTGGGGGTCTCAGTGAAGGCTGTTGCTGTCCAGAGTATGGACACATATTAACATTGCTTTTGCAGGGAGGAAATGTTGGGTAGTGGCTATAACAGAAGTTAATAGCCAGGGCTCACAAGTTCTGTTTCCAGATCTGGAAAAGACTTTCTGTGCATGTGCACCCTTTCATTTGTTTCCTGCAACAACTCTCAGCTAAAGGGTGCAATGCATATTATATGTGTCATAGTGTACTTTGCCTGGCGACGGATGAGCATTGCTTGTTTCTTGAATTCAGAGCCTTTATGAAAGCCATAACCTAACAAAGCACAAACTTTTCACTTGATTTCCTTTATTTTTTAACTCGAGTGTTGTTAGCTAAAAACACTTATCTGAGCAGAGCATGCAAATAGCTTTATTTCTTAAATTGCTGAGCAGCTGTAGTCCAATCCTGAAAGGAC